CAGATTACAGGCCCTTCAACCCAGACTGTATTTACAGTAAGGGAACAGTTACTGACAAAAGCAGGACGGTGCTATAAATTCAATTTCTCTTGTTCCCCTTTAAGAGCTGTGCCAAAAGTAACACTTCCGTTTTAACATGATTATGCCATTTAATTCTAGAATACTTCACTTTTTGTGTCAAAATTTAGATTTAGTTGCAAAAGCATATGTTCAGTTATGAGATCCTTTTTTTAAATTCAGTTTTCACTTATCAGGACTGTTCTGGGCGCATAATCAATTCCTGTCAGTGATTTTTTCCCCCCCATGTCTTCAAATTATAACTATGCCTAAATGCTGGCAAGTGCTCACAAGAGCAGAGCCAGCAGAGCAGGGGCTGTGATTATGCCAGTCATTTAGCACGCATTAGGCCACATCTGTAATACTGGGTCTACCTCTGGTCTCCACAGTTTGAGGGAGACACTGAAAAAACTAGAGAGGATCCACTCGGGGGCAAGCAAGATGAGAGGTTTGGAGAACTTCACAGATGAAGAAAGATGAAAAGAACTGGATTTATTTATTTATTTATTTTTATACTAAAGAAGTCAAAGCTAAAGGGGATCTCACCAGAGTTTTGCAGTATCTAAAATATAATTACAGTGGAGATGCGGGAACTCCCTTCACAAGGAGGCAAAGTGACAGAAAAGGAGCAATGGGTGCAAATGGCTTCAGAAGAAAGTCAACGCAGACAAGGAAAAATATTGTACCATTCGAAAAAAATATATATATTTTTAAATAGGTTATCCTATGGGATATCCATTGATAGAAGTATCAAGAATTTATAGGACCTTGGATAATGCAATTTAAGGCCCTGCTTTCAACAAAAGCTTGGACTATACAACTTGCAGAGGTCCGTGCCAATATGGGCTTTTATATGACACTGCAATGCTGCACAGGCCATCTGACTAGTCCATATTTATCCCTTACAAAAGTGTAGGAAAAAAAAAAAAAAAAAAAAAAAAGGAAGGGAGTGTTTTGGCTTTTGAACAGGTTACAAAACAGGATTCTCTGCAAAGCACTAAATTAGAAGATGGCAATGAAGAATGGGACAGATGAAATAGGACAAGAAGAACTGAGGTAACTATTCAAACTTTTAGCAGCTCGTTTAAGTTTGAACTGAAGGCTTTTGAAGATTTGATCATTTCCTGTGTTAGAAAATCAACCAGCTACTAAAACAAATAACCATTTCTACCTTAAAAAAAATAAATAAATCAGCTATGTGTTTATACATAATATTCTCGTGTATGCTTTGAAATGACCAGCCTCTTTGAAGTGCCTATCTCCTTTTGAAGGCTATCAGAAGACAAGATGCTAAAGTAATGATTTAAACAGGTTAAAAAGATTGTTCCACATTAGTAAATCACTACTTACTGTTCCCCCTGTCTGCTAGCTGTAAAAGAACAGCCAAAAAAGTATAAACGTCTGTCCTGCAAAATCATTTATCGCTATTTCTCAAGCTCAGCAATATACAAATAAAATCATATTTCAGAGGGGAGGAATTATAAAAAAGAAAAAAACAGAGCAGAAAATACTCCAATTGATGTGGGTACATAATGTTCACACTTCACACAACTACCAAAAGATGGAGGGAGTGGAAGGAAGTGGAGGAGTGAAGTAAAATTTGGTATGTAAAAACAACTCTTCTCAAAAGACTAATGAGGCTTCTGACAAAAAAAAAAAAAAAAAAAAAAAAAAAGACAGAGAGAGAAAGAGAGAGAGAGAAGCATTGTGAAAAGCTACTTACATGCTGTCCCATCAGCACTGCCTCTGCTAAGTGCTTCCTATTCAGTACCCTAGTTTTTACAGCTCCTGTTTGGTCATTTCTAACCGAGTGTATGTACCCCACAATGGACCATAAGTTTTAGCACAGGGCTGGATGCACATGTAACCATCATAAATACTCGAGCATTGTAACACTTATGTCCCTTCATCAGTCTACAAAATCTTTGTAAGCTTCCTAGCTTTTATTTTATCTACAACATAGTAACATCTAGCTGTATGACAGAAAATTCAGTTCAAAAGAGAAGAAATATTTTTCCTGAAATATATTTTATTCCTCCTAACTACAAACTCTTTAAATCCCGGAGAAAATAAATTAATTCATTAAAAAGCCAACACAATTTTAAATCACAGAATCACAGAATTTCTAGGTTGGAAGAGACCTCAAGATCATCAAGTCCAACCTCTGACCTAACACTAACAGTCCCCACTAAACCATATCCCTAAGCTCTACATCTAAACGTCCTTTAAAGACTTCCAGGGATGGTGACTCCACCACTTCCCTGGGCAGCCTGTTCCAATGTCTAACAACCCTTTCGGTAAAGAAGTTCTTCCTAACATCTAACCTAAAACTCCCCTGGCGCAACTTAAGCCCATTCCCCCTCGTTCTGTCACCAGGCACGTGGGAGAACAGACCAACCCCCACCCTTGCTACAGCCTCCTTTGAGGTATCTGTAAAGAGCAATAAGGTCGCCCCTGAGCCTCCTCTTCTCCAGGCTGAACAAGCCCAGCTCCTTCAGCCGCTCCTCGTAGGACTTGTTCTCCAGGCCCCTCACCAGCTTCGTCGCCCTTCTCTGGACCCGCTCAAGCACCTCCATGTCCTTCTTGTAGCGAGGGGCCCAAAACTGAACACAGTACTCGAGGTGCGGCCTCACCAGAGCCGAGTACAGGGGGACAATCACCTCCCTAGCCCTGCTGGCCACACTGTTTCTTATGCAAGCCAGGATGCTGTTGGCCTTTTTGGCTTCCTGAGCACACTGCTGGCTCATATTCAGCCGACTGTCCACCATCACTCCCAGGTCCTTCTCTGCCAGGCAGCTCTCCAACCACTCATCTCCCAGCCTGTAGCTCTGCTTGGGTTTATTGCGCCCCAGGTGCAGGACCCGGCACTTGGCCTTGTTGAACTTCATGCAGTTGACCTCAGCCCATCGGTGCAGCCTATCCAGATCCTCCTGCAGAGCCTTCCTACCCTCGAGCAGATCGACACATGCGCATAGCTTGGTGTCATCTGCAAACTTACTGAGGGTGCACTCAATGCTCTCGTCCAGATCATTGATGAAGATATTAAAGAGGACCGGCCCCAGCACCGAGCCCTGGGGGACGCCACTAGTGACTGGCCTCCAACTGGACTTGACTCCATTCACCACGACTCTTTGGGCCCGGCTATCCAGCCAGTTTCTAACCCAACGAAGCGTGAGCCAGTCCAAGTCAAGAGCAGCCAGTTTCTTGAGGAGAATGCTGTGGGAGACGGTGTCAAAAGCCTTGCTGAAGTCAAGGTAGACCACATCCACAGCCCTTCCCTCGTCCACCCAGCGCGTCACTTTGTCATAGAAGGAGATCAGGTTCGTCAAGCAGGATCTGCCTTCCATAAACCCATGCTGACTGGGCCTGATCGCCTGCTTGCCCTGCAAGTGCCGCATGATGACTCTCAAGAGGATCTGCTCCATGAGCTTCCTTGGTACTGAGGTCAAACTGACAGGCCTATAGTTGCCCGGGTCTGCCCTCCGGCCCTTCTTGTAGATGGGCGTCACGTTTGCTAGCCGCCAGTCAACTGGGACCTGCTTCTGATGATCAGAAGGACAATACGATTGCATATTAATTTCATCCAAAAAAAAAAAAAAAAAAAAAAAAAAAAAAAAAAAAAAAGCTGCTAAGGTTCATTTTATCATTTAAAATGGTCCTCCCTCCCTCCCTCCCCCACGTAGTAGTCTTTCAACAATGCTGTTATGCAAGTTAGAAAGGAAGCATCAGCCATTCTTCAAAACTATTTATCCAGAATGTTTCCAGAGCACTGCGAGGGCGTCTTGTGGAACACTTGGCTCATCACTTAGCAGGGAATAGGGCATTCAGGAGAGGCAGGAACCCAGGCCCAGTGCCCCAGACCCACCCAAATATTACTAGCACTATTTGTTCAGCTTCTTCAGCTTTAAAACATTATCACTACTCCCTCTAGTGGGTATCCTAATTGAAACAAATGATGACAAAAGTGACACAAAACTAAAACTCCTAACAGTACTGATTTGTATGGTCATTTTACACACCTTCTATTTGCAACAGCATTTAAACTATTCTCCCCTCTCCAAATGGCAAAAGAATTAGAAAAGCATGCCACGAACAGAGACTTGTGCATGTAAATCACTACCAGATGAAGCAATGGAAAACAGTTATTAATGAATATTTTGCATTCTTCATGTGTTTTGTAAAACTATGGCTTTGACCAAAGTTCTGCTGAAAACACTTCAAGCTGATTGAACAGTTTGTAATGACATCTCTAAAAGATGCTCAGTTTAACAGGGTTCAGGATATGCTTTTAGAACAGGAAAAATTACAGGCTATTTTTAAAGAAAATAGCCATGTTAAGAACATACCTGTGATTGTCTATGTTTCGGTGTTAGCACAGCATTATCTCACTTAAAACTAAAGCAATTCGCTGAAGAAATTTGCTTGTGTGACCCTAATATCTTTAGATAGATCTCTTGAAATTTTGAGAACAAAAAAATGTCTCTGAAATAGCTGATCAAGAAACAATCTCATTTTCTCTGGGCTGCTGCTGCTGCTGCTGCTACAGTCTTTGCTTACCTAGCACCCACCTGCTTACCTTTAAGGACTTTTAATAGTGTATGAGCCATAGGACCATTATAAATAAAACTCTAAGAGGACATTGGCACTCAAAGCTCCATTACACTTCCTTTTTTTAAAAAAAAAAAAAAAAAAAAAAAAACAAGACGACAAAACTCCAAATAGAGGTATTATCTTCATTCCAAGTCAGCTGATAATGTGCCTGTCTCAGCCACAGTTTCAAACACAATCTCTTTTTTTTTCCAGCCACCCCTAGAGAAAAGACTGTCCAGTTTATCTGATAATGAAAAATGGGAAGATACCAAAATTAGTATGTAAAAACATAAAATTTCTGTTTTTGAAAGCTGATGAGCCTACACAGCAAACAAGAGGAAGAGACAACTTACCATAAACTGTTGAAGAAAATTGCTGCACATGTTTACGTTATATAAAAACTATAGGTAAAATGGCAAAACAGAGATTAAAATAAACCATTAAAAGATAAATTGAGTAAGCAAACAGAAGGAAAAAAATTACAGGAGTGAATGATGTTTCTAAAATCTAACCCAGAGCCTTTCAGACTTTAATTATCCTAATTATCGAGGCATTTGTCCTTCATTAGTCATCAGACAATTACCATAACACCCAGCTCTGAGTTTTGAATACTTTTCAAGAGCTACAATTCATTGCTGAAAGACATGAAAACTGTTGCCCTTTTGTACTAGTGCTTTTCAAATCCTGTTACTTTGAGCCAGGAATGAGAGAAATCACTGGCTTGGGACCTTTCTGCTCTGGAATTGCAGCATGGTTGTGTCTTTGCAGGGTCACACTCACCTGTATGAGCAAGGCACTGCTGTGCTCACCTGGGAAACTGGGGTGAAGAATCAGCCTGGTTGCTGCCATGGAGTGCCAGCAACAACAATGCCAAAAGAGCAATATATTTAAACTTCCAATCAAACTGACTGAAAAAAAGCCCCAGTAACCTAATAATAACAAAGAAAACCTGAAAGGTGATTAAGATATATTTTTTTTCTCCCTAAACAGCATTCATCCAAGCTAGGGAAGTGTATGTGCTATTTAGCCTGCATGGTCAAGATGCTAAGTTAGTAAAATGGCGTAAAAAATATACGTCAGCGTGTTAGCAAGTTTGAATGTCGAGAGCCAAGTAAAAATAGAGCAGTTTCATGAGCAAAGTGGTTACAATTATAGCATCTCATTAATTACAGGCCATGGGGTTCTTTTATGAAGCAAAGTGTGGGAAATGCTATGATAAACCGGAGGCCTTGAGTCACAGAAATCAAAGTATCTGAACAATCAGAAAGATGTAAAGAAAAGTGATACAGACTCAAATACACTTTTTGCCTTTCCAAATGGCCATTCTACTGACCATTTAAAGATACCTATACGATAAAGACACATTCAAGACAGGAAAAAAATAAAAATAAATAAATCCCAAAGAGACAAAATGGAAGTGAGGCACAGTTTCCACCAGATCTTTGATTTATTACTTTCTAATTCCCCATGATTTGGGAATTTGCAGCAAGGTACAATCTGAGTGTATGCTGACATCTAAAAAACAGGTGACCTGGAAGGGTTTCCAAACAACCAGGATGCAGGATGAAAAGATTTCTGGATATCAGCAACAGTGAGACAGAACATGGACTTCCAGGACCCTGATGTCTGTAAGAAACAAATCGGTCACCTAGAATTAACTCAGAAACAAAAGGTGAAGATTTCATCAATTTTATATTCAGACTGTAACGAAGCAAAGCTCTCACTGAATCAGTAGCAAATTGTGCTAAATAAAAGGCCTGAGTAGTAAACTCAGGATTGAATATCTGATTCATTAAAGGAAATAATATCACAATCTGCCTCTTACACAGAGTAGGTAGAAAACATGTATGTGTATATCTGTACGTATGTGTGTGTATATATATGGCATGCACATATATACACACACTCATGGGTGTGCATTTAGTACCGGATGGAGACACTCCAGTGTGACCAGCATATATGTGTATATTGCGAAGGAATTTAGCAGTTTAATAATAGGCAAAATTAAACCCTTTAAATCGTTATGCCTAAATGCTTTGTGCATTTTGCTGTGAAAACTAGAGCTCTGTGCTCTCAGTATGTGAGTTTAAAAAAAAAATAAAATAAAATAAAAAAATCATATTTAGGGATTTTTTTAAACAAAAGATAATTCCCTTTAGAAAAACGGAGCATTTAATTTTGAAGAGATTTGATTTTGGAAGGAGTATGGCTGTTACAATGCTTTGCATATATTAATGCAAATCACAGATGCTAGAGTGAATTAAAAAAACTATTCCCAGAGAAATTAATCCAAAAGGAAAATTTATGCTGCACTAAGTTAAATGGGCCATGCTGGATCCTTCTTTGCCGATCACAAATAAAACAAACTGCAATTCCAGATTGTGAATTTCTTGTGTTCTTGTAACTGTGATGACTGTTTTGATATGTATTTTCTTTGGTATTTCTAAGGAACACTTGTTACATTTTCCACTGTACTTCATATGTATGCCTTCCAACAGCTTTGTATCAAATTGGAACCATTTATAAGGAACATTTTGTTTACAATGATAGGCAAGTCAGCCACGACTGGAAACATTAAGCTAACTACAGCAAAGTTCAGCAATTTACCACTGATAAGTTTCTTTAGTTATTCTTTGTGAGTTCAGTTGCCACTCAAGGCAAGCTTTTTCTTTTATTTCAGCCACCTTGCTGTTCATAGCATGCTTCAGCCCTCCTTGCTGGAGGCTTTTGACTGAAAATAAAATTGGTCCTATTGAAATGCTGTAACATTCCTCCGTCTGTACAGAAGCACTTAGGCAAAATTTGTCCATCTGTAAAACTCAACCTTTTCCCCCTTGAGGAGAAGCACATCCTGCAACTTGCATCGCGATATATATTTGCAGTGACCCCAAGCTGAAGGAAAATGAAAACGTGCCGTAGCAGGCAGATTTACAACTGCTGGTGAAAGCACTCCAAAACTAAAATTGCAAATAAAATTGTTTGTCTAGAAAGAAGAAGCTCAGTCTTCTCCCCTGTGCAGCTCCTGCTTAAACTGAGAATTTGAAATCCAGATGACAGCAAAGACAAATGGAAAATCAGGCTGTCAGGGCAGTAAATACATGGGAAATGCGCTCCTATTGATTGAGGAGGAAGCTGGATTATTTGGTGTAATCTGAATTTTTGAGACATTCACCGCGACTGAAAATTTGGGTACGGAAGGCTTTGCTATTTTCTCAAAAGCACCTTCAAATAAAGGTGTTTAAACTTAACACGGTGGAGGGATTTTAAGCAAGCAGTGAGGACGCATTATCAGATCCGCAGGTGGAGGTGGGCCTGGTTAGTCATGTTTGACAGAGACAGCACAACAGCCAGAGACAAGGACTGTGGGGACATGAGCGTGTGAGGGGGAGCACACCGAGCCCTGCCCGGGGGCAGCACAGCGCCATGGGGGCAGGACACCACCGGGCGCCCCCAGCCAACGGCCGCGGCCCGGCGGGCGGCGCATGGCGGGCGGTTACCAGCTGTGGGCGCCCCACTCGCCCCTGGAGGAGGCGCTGCGCTGGCTGCGAGGCGCCCCGCCGCCCGCCCCGCCGCCCGCCGCCATTTCGGCGCACCCCTTCCGCGGGGGCGGGCTGCCGCCGGGGGGGGCGGTGGCGGCGGCGGGCGGGCTGTGGGGTCGCGGGGCGGTGCTGCGGCGGCCGCAGGCCGTGAGGCTGCGGGGCGTCGACGCCGTCTTCGGGCGGCCGGTGACGGCGCAGCCGCCGCGCTGGAGGGGCTCGCTGCGGGTGTCGGAGCGCTCGGCCTTCTGCCGGGTGGTGGCCCCGCGGCAGCCGGGGCCCTGCGGGCTGCGGGAGGCCGAGGCGCGGCTGGCCGCCGCCATGTGCCGCAGGATGCTGCGCGCCATCCTGCTGCTCTACGCCGCCTACAAGAAGTGTGCCTTCGCCCTGCAGCACTCGCGATGAGAGCCCCCGGCACGCTTGGTGTCCTCTGGAGGGTGACCTGGGTCTGGCTCGGCGGGATGCTTCGGGGCATTGGGCGCCTTGGAACTGTGCTGAAGCCTCACTGCGCAGAGCACACCGTGAAAGCTTGCCTGGTGCTTCACCTGCATGCCGGGGTGGCACCCCAAGGAAAGATGGCGAAAGCACAGAGCTCGGAGCGCAACAGCGTGCAGCTCGTGGACGTGGGCACCAGCTATGTCAAGGAGATGAGAAACTGCACACCCCGTCGGAGGTTATAGGGACGTGACTGCACCGTCTGCCTGCATGGTTCTGGCTTGCTATGTTGCACGTAGCATTTGCCATTCTGCTGGGAGCAAAGCCTGAAGTGAAATGCCTGACAAACTGAGAAGCGCTACTGCTTGAGATGTGACCATCTTTGCCGGACAGGCCTCAAAGAAAAGAGGTTTACACTCTTTTTTAGCTACGGGTACAAACTCCAAAATAGATCCCAACCTTACTACCTTTCTAAGCAAAATCCGTTCTTCACTCATTTCTTGTGGACAAAGACCTCCACAAAACGAAACAAAAATTACACTTTAATCTGTTAGTAGGTTTTACAGTTCTGCCCCCTACCACCACCCCCCAACCATCACTAGTTTGTGAGAACTAGCTGGTTTACAAAGAATTCAAATCGCCTTTTATCATTCAGAGCAAAGTCTGTAGTTATTTGCAGCTAGTGAAGGCAGTTCACGTAAATACAGTCTTCTAAGTTACCCATCAGAATCTTTTTTCCTTTTTCTTTTTTTTAGCTAATGGTATAAGTATCCTTAAAACAAAATTCATGCCATATCAGTTTTCTAAAAATGCATTTTTGATCTACTCTATTCAAACTTTCTTTACAATTAAATGTACAGGTGTGAAAATCCATGTAGATTACTTACAGCTTATGAAAACAATTTGCAAAGAATGACTGCAGAGTTGCTACTTACCTTCAAAATAACCAAAACAATATTTTTATTTGTTTTAAATGCCATAACCAGTGTATATAGCTTTTTAGAAATGTACTATTGGCTTCTTAACAGTCCAAATAAAAATTGTTCTGATTTATTTATTGCTAGTATAGGTAATTTATTACAACTTCCATAAAGTATAGTTACAAACTATCACAAAAATTATAGCTGCATATAGAGTTTCAGTTAATCTTGTCCATGCAATTACAGAGGGGAAAGCATTTATAATGCATTTATAGTCGGTATTTCACATCACCCTGATAACATCGTTATTCATTCCAGTATGGAGATGAACATTCAGAGTTGTCATAGCATTCAGTCATTGCTTGTAACATACTTCAGAAATGTCTTGTCATGGATTCACCCCTAATTGTGAAAAGTCTGTTGTCCCATCTTTCAGTTGAGGCTGATTTGCTTTCTAGACTATCAGCTAACAAGTTAGAATAGTTGAGTGTGGCTGCTGGGAAGTATCACAACACAAGAAGAACTTGCAGAATCTATTTATTTAGAACTGAAAAGTTAATAAAGAGATCAGCCTTAAGAAGAATCTGGGGTCTGTGCTTTGTTTGTCTGTGATAATAGCAGCCAGGCATTAAAAAGAAGCGCAAGCTTTGGAGCTGGATCTACAGTTCCTGTTTCTGATCCAGAGCTGCCTATTAAGACTGCAGTCAATCCTGCCGCAGTCTAAGCTGTATTTTCCCATTGAGTTCTCATCAGACCAGCGTTCAGATGTGGCTCTGCTTTTTGAGCTAGTTTAAAGAGAAATTCGTATCTGCTTACCTCTGAATGAATGCTTCTCCTAATCTAGGATATGTCAAAAGGAGTTGATACAGATCTACGGAAGTAATGCTGATTTGAGCAAACATTTAGCTAACAACTTTTTTCTTAAAAAAAAATGAAGGGAAGGTCTTTTCTATGTAAAAATAAAGGTTTTAGTGAGCATCCTGTTCATTGCCATACTGATGGCAATCATGAAGGAGAGGGTCTGGAAAAATTTCTTCATAGTCTTTTCATAAACCACTAGTGTAAAGCAGTCATCTCTACCTTACAGCAGACACAGTTCTGTAGCATTGACCTGAGCTGTGAGCTCATAGAACTGTGAGCTCATAGAACTGAGCTGTGAGAACATAGAACTGTGAGCTACCTAGAAGTCTTCCATGCTCATCCTCTCAAGCTGGGGCCATTAAACCCCAAATAGAAGGCCACAGCAGTGGGAGGTGATGAGAGAAAGAAGGTGAGCATTAGGGCCTGTGAAAGGAAACCCTGTGCTTTCAAGGGCTACCAACTGGGACCAGAGCTCTGTAAATGTTATTCTTCTAATGAATCCTGATCATAGTGTGCTCCTGCAGGGAGAAGACTATCATTTCAACAGGTCAGGTGTATTTACAAGGTGTAGGCGGTGCCCTAAATGGTTTGCTGGTTTATAATGAAAGGAACTGAACAACTGTCATGTTATGCCAGCTGGTATGGCTTCTAGTATTGCTCTGGAGCTACACCACAAATAAATTCCATAAGCTGGAACTGAGCATCCAGTCCAAATACCTGCTTTTTTTCCTTAAGTGTTAGTCCTTAAGCTATTAGGCATAACATGAAGCTTTGTTTCTTAGAAATTGATTATGTAGGTCATGTTTGTTTGTCTGCAATAAGGACTTATTGTTTTTGATAAGGTAATCTAGTTTATGTACAAAGACAGGGAAAAGTATGGCTTTTATAAACAGAGTTCTGCATGGATAAAGTCTTCCTTCCAAGAAGCCCCAGGCACCACAAGCTTTTCTTATCCCCTTCCAGTCTCACTTTCACAATACCATGTCCTGCTGTTTGCCTGCTTTCTGATTCCTTTCACACACAACTTCAATAAAATCAATGCTCTCTCTCCATCCTTGCTGCCATTTCACTGTAGAGTTCCTGCTCAGACTTTAATCATCCTGCTCCATGCCTTGGGAAGGTGCTTTCTGCTGATCCAATTGACAATAAAAAAAAAAAAGATGTGTAATTGCCTTTCTGTTCTCTCTGAATAAGTGTGTGGCATACCTGTCCATTTAAGTGAGAGCTGAGCTTGGATGCAGACTGAATAGCAGCCACCCACAGCCTTGAAGGACACCTCAAGAGCCAGTTCAATGGTCAAAGTGGTTGATGTAATATAAAAAAACTCTTATGTCTCCAAGCCAGCAGGCACTTACACTTGCTTAACTTCACTGATGTAAGTCACTTTCATTCAGCTTTGTTGTTGCAGTTCACAGTGGTAGAGATAAACCCAAAGGTAAAGAGCAACTCATACATCTTTAAATGATGTATCCCAATACCATCTGCTCCCAGGAACACCCTATTATCTGAAGTCAGGCAGGTTCCCATCTCAGTGTCTTTATCATGCTTTCTCAGGCATGACAAGGAGACCTATTTTAGACAACAAATATTGCTGCAAGCTAACTTAGTTTAGTTTTCAACTCCTCATTATTTTTTCCCCTCCATTGGAAACTGACACCAAATAAGCATCCCTTGATGGCAGCTTTCAGATTTCCCAGATCTGAAATTTTCAAAACACAGGTTCTAACCAGCTACTGGTACACACAGCAGTAAGGCTTGCTCCTTTCAGATTAATCAGGGCTTCACTCGGTGATCCTTCTAATGCTACTTCAGTCTCACCATCCCTTGAAACAGGTCCGCAGAGAGCCAGGTCTGTGCTTCTGTTTAGCTTGCTGTAGGTTGTGGTAGGGACAGAAGTAGGCAGGAGGAATTTGGCTCGAGGTGAGAGTTATTACCTTGGGAAGACTCAAGGTAGAGAAACACTATCATTCTCCACAGCAGAAAAGGATATGCTGATTTTAGGGGGAAAGGAGAAATAACCTTCACCATTAAAATGGTGAATGAATCTTTTTCTTACTGCTTTATGATCATAATGGATCTGCAACTCAAGCCAGTCTGTTGCCCCAGATTGTTTCAACAAGTTCAAGATCAAACTCTGCTTTCTCAGTGTCAAGTGCGTTGAAATTAGAGGAGTATTGATTACTGCCTCAGCAGCGCTGTGGTCTGCTTGCAGCAGCCTGTGGAGAATAGGAAGTTAAACAAAGGGAGAAAGTGGGCCAGCAGCTGCAGATGGTGGTTAAACTAACACTCGCTCACACACAGGCTCCAAACAACCTTGGCTGTAACTGCTTACTCCTAAAACTGTCCTTAGGATCATTGAACAGAGGCTCCTTTAATTGTCTGTTTTTACAGTGGTTTCAGAGAGAATTTTGCCATTTCTGTTTGGCTACATCTCAGATAAATCCACATCATTTCCCCACTGCCTGTGAACAATCATGCCGTCATATGCCACGGAGATGCTAGCAGCAGCAATCCCTCTTCAGCTCCAGAGCAAGAAACAAGGGCCCCTTTGCACAGCTTGCACTTGTATGGTCCTAGTGGATTCTCAGCCTCTTTGCTGAATTGGTGGCAGGCTTTCCACTTGCATCTCAGGGGCTCTGAATCATTAATGGTCCAGTCACCTTTGCTCTCAAACCTGAACTCTGGCTTTGCTTAATCAGCAAAGCTGATGTTTTTTTTTCCCCTATCTGGGCTAGTAGATATGATTCATAACATCTCATGGCACCGTGTGTTTTCAAAGTTAATCTGATCAGGCCCGTATTTCAAATCACTCAGTTTTTGAATCCTAGTAAATCTACTGCAGATGTGAGACTCCTGCATCCAAGTCCAACTGGCAGGTCATCGTGTGCATCCCCATGCAGATGTGGTGGAAAAGCATCCAATTCATATGTTCAGCTCCTTAAAGGAGTCTTAGCACCAGCACTAGGCCTGCAGCTGCATCGGGCTGGCTTGCCTTTATAACTGCCACAGGCAAGGATGAGGACAGATGACCTTAAGATGTATGGGTACCCCATCCTCTCTGCTCCTGGGGCTTTCAGAAAAAGCCAGTTTATTCCCTATTAGCACTGAGACAAGTTTTGACCCTGAATTTGTGGCAGCTCTATAGTACGACCAGCTATTTTGCAGCCAAGTAGAGCATCTAAAGACATTCCACTCTTTCACATCAGTGCAAATCCAGAGATTTTAGGCCAATAATGTGGGCTTAAAAGGTCTTCTTAATGAGTTTTATATGGCCATTCTGCAGTTCACAGTCTGCTGTAAGCTGACTAAGTGCCCTTCAGGTTAAAAAGAGATCAGACAATGTTGGGATTGATACACAACTAACTAGTAATGACTGATGTAAATGTTTGTATTTCTACTCTTTGTACATTATCAGCATTTGTGCACAGCCATTTTCCATCTCCATTGTGAGCCTTTTCATCAGAAACAGAAAAATGCATTTTTTTGTAAGAAGAAATTGAACTTTTTGAAGGCTTCAAAAAGAGTAAACCTTAGTTAAAACTTCCTAAGCATGTCAGTAAATTCTCTTTAGCACCCTAACTCATTGCAAGCTGTCATATTATTCTCTTGGCTCAAGGTAGCTTATGCTTATATGTAATGACAGCTGCCTTATTAGAGATACATCTTGAGGGTTTGACACTGCAGAACATAAATAGCACCTTGGAGTTGCAGCACCTTGCTTATCTTGCTGATGAGATACCAAGAGGAGAAACAATGACGCAAGTTCTGGGTTAGTCATGAGACAGGTGCCACCCACACTTGGAAAGGATTGCCCACAGCCACAGCACAGGTGCCAGCAGAGACAAAAACAAAACAAAACAAATTTCACTGGCAGGTGTATGAATACTCCTCCAGTAAGAATTCAGGAGCATCAGGCTGGGTCCCATCACAGGATTTTCTTCACTTTTTCTTCTTTTGTCCATGTGGCAAGTAGTACTTGGGAGTTTGGAGCTTTCCCATTAGTTAAGTAAGCCTTGATGAGCCTGGAGGGAAAGAGCAACAATCAAGAGAGAAACAATCCTGCCATTGCCTAATTCCTTTCCAAATGTATAGTTCCTTGTAGCACACTAGAGGCTCTTTTGGAAGAACTGTTGTTTTATTCCCATTCTTCAAACATTGTGCATGTTGTGTATATGGTAGTAAGTCAATCCTGTTGGGGGCTTTCCATTAAAATTGCTGCTTTTTCAATTAAAAAGACCAGGAAGCATGATTAAAATTCAGATTGCTGGTCTCGGCTGTTTTCATACACTGGCTTTAAAACATATTTGTTAAGCACCATCTGCTGTACATTCAGAAAATAGCAACTAAAACTGCTAATCTTTTTCCAGCTTCTTAATCAAATTAAAATTATTGAAATGCTGTCTACTATAAAAAAATTATGGCAGCTCCATCATGTTTAAACTGTATTTATATGGTTCTCCAATTGTATTACCTATCTACAGTTACAGATAGAACACAAGTTTCTCTTGGGAGAGGAACTGTATTACAGTTAACAACTGTATTTTGTAATAAACACCATATCCTAAAACAGCACAGTGGAAGGAGTCAGGAAAATATCTGTGTTGAGCCTGAAATCCAGATGTACTAAATAACACAGGATGAATGCAGCCAAACACAAAGCATTGTCTTTCAAGGGCAAATACAGTGACTGCAGGACTCAATGACAAAAACAAAAAGCTACAC